ATTTGTATTCTAAGTGTGGAGTGATTGGAGGGGCTTATCGGGTATTTGATGAAGCCTCTGTTAAGAATCTTGGGATGTGGAATGCAATGCTGATTGCTTGTGCTCAGCATTCACATACTGAGAAAGCTTTTGATTTGTTTAAACGGATGGAAGTCCTTGAGGTCAAACCGAATTTTATTACCTTTTTGTGTGTGCTCTATGCTTGTAGCCATGCGGGGCTTGTTGAGAGGGGCAAGCGTTACTTTGAATTAATGAAGAAATATAGAATTGAGCCAGGTGATCAGCATTATGCTTCTTTGGTTGATTTATTTGACCGCTCAGGTAAACTGCAGGAGGCACTTTCGATCATCAGGGAGATGCTTATTTGGCCAACAGAGTCTGTCTGGTATGCTTTTCTAACCGGGTGCTGAATTCATGGGAACACTGAATTGGCGGCCTATGCTTCTGATAGGATCTTTGAGTTGGGACCTGTGAGCTCAGGTTTGCATGTGTTATTGTGTAATCCATATGTTGCCGTTAGTAGATATGAGGATGCCGTCAAAGCTAGGAAGATGCTTAGAGACCGAGGGATTAAGAAAGAGACGGGTTTGAGTTGGGTTGAGGAGGGAAATAAGGTTCACACATTCGCTGTTGGGGATAGGTCCCATGCAAAAACAAAAGATATCTACCAAAAATTAGAGGAATTAGGAGACAAAATGGAGCGAGCTGGTTATATTGCAGAAACAAGTTTTGTGCTGAGAGCCATCAACGGTGAAGAAAAGAATCAGACAATCAGATATCATAGTGAAAGGCTATGTAACATCCCAAAATATGAGTTAGTGACTAAATTGTAAAACTTTAGAATTTGGTGATTAAAGTAGGATGATTGAATAGTTTAATGATTATCTAGAAGAATTGTTAGTAATTATTAAGTGAATTGAAGGGCAAAATGGTTATTTGACCAATAAATAAATTAAAAGGTGATAAGGATGAGATATATACACATGAGAAATGAGAGGGAGAGGAAATAAAGTTTCCATAATTCTCTTCATCCTTCTCTTTTCTCTCCATCGTGAACTAAGCTAGAGCAAAGGTGAGTTTTCTGATTAGTTGGTTATTTGATAAATTAAAGGTTAGGTTTTGATCATTAGATGATAACTAAGCTTAAGGAAAGCTTAAGTTGTCTTATAATCAAAAGATGAAGAAGTTATAAGAGATTAAAGAAAATGAGTTTTTAAATGAATTTATGGAAAAGATAAGTTGATAAGTTGAATTTGAAGTTAAATTTGACTTGTCATCATGCTAATTAAGGAATATGAAGTGTTAGAATTGTATTTATAACATATTGAAATTGGAGTATGATTCTTGAATTACATATGAGGGATAGGATTTTGAGGTTAAATATGATTTTCATGAATAAAAGTTGATTTAAGTAATGATGATTGGGTTTAATGACATGATAGGGGTTTAAAAGAGAAGAATTGAGTGAAGAATTGATGATTTTCGGGCTTAAAATACAATTTTTGGGCTATTTGCATCGATGCACATTCAATGTGTACCACTGCATCAAGGATAAATCCCAAAAATTGTTCAAGGTGTATCGATGCACATGAAGTGCATCGATGCACTCCTTTAAAATAAAAACATCGAATGCCATCAGTGTATCGATGCACAAGTAGTGCGTCGATGCACCCCCCCTTAAATGCAAACATCGAATAGGATTTATGTATCGATGTATAGATAGTGCATCGATGCACCCGTTAAGGGATGCATCGATACATGGTGTAGTACATCGATGCATACCTTCATTAAAAGATAAAAATAGCTTTCTTTTTAGCCTAAGGAATGATAGTTTAGAATATATCAATTACTCAATTAGTATACTGATATGTATCAATGTATTACTATGTAGATTTAGAACGTAATCTCGTTCCAGAACAATTGAAGGATTATAATCGAGTCAAAGCAAGGCTAAGGTGAGTACATATTATAAGTATGGTACAATGGAATAAGACTTGTGATAAGTCTAATTCCTATGTTGATTTTCATAGCACAATAGTTATGAACATGCATACATGATAATTATTATGATACATGCATAAAGTATATATGTTCGTATGATTTGATAAATGATATATGTGAATAGATTCAAATGCACATGTGATATGGTAAGTGATATGAGTTATATGATCACAAGAGAAATGACATGAATACATGAACATATGAAATATAAGAATAATGCCCATGGTATACGAATGAGAGCTATAGGTATAGTTGGCATGCCAAGAGTCGAGGGTTCTACGTGGTCCTTCGGGACATATATGTATCATTTGGAACATTTACAGGGTCTTTTGAGATAGATTTGATCTACTGGAATATGTATATAGTTATTAAGGAGTGGTCATTCGGGACAAATACAATACATAGGTCATTCGGGACAAATTTCATAGCCCCTAGTGGGATCCATACGAGCTGTGGTGACAGCATAGTGCACAACCTCAATGTACTCGAATACCTTGAGTTCAAAAATGTACATGGGCCTATAAAAGGTTATCAAAGGTAATTGTATTGTTATAGTATATGTTACCATATTATTATTGTTTACATTGAATTGTATATGACATGATTGAATGGATAGATTGCATGTTTATATTTATACGAAATGCATTATTATTATATTTATATGTCTCATAAAGAATCAGGAAGAGCGGAAATAGGGTGGCAAGAACAACATCACTGATAAAAGATCAGATTAGAAGTAACAGATAAAATGTCTTTTGTTGTGTATAATGTTGGCATGTAAGAAAAGTGTCTGTTACAAATGCTTTGATCAGTTTTGTTTTGTTTTGGTTAATTTGTGTAAAGTAACAATGTTATTTTAATGAAAGTTTTAAATTTCCTTGATTTTTCGTCAAGAGTCAAAGTTTGAAAAGTCAATGTGACACATCGGACTCGTATCCAGGTCGGGTACAGATTGAGGGTGTTACAGGCTAGCTGTTGCATTTGGGCTCCTTGCCTTCCCACCAGATAGGGCAATTAGGGTTATGAAGAACTTACGCATCTGTGGTGATTGTCATACAGCAATCAAGTTTATGTCCAAGTGCACTGGAAGAGTAATTATTGTGAGGGATAACAACCGGTTTCATCTTTTCGAGGATGGAAAATGCTCCTGTGGTGACTATTGGTGAATGAATTATAAGATGCCACTGTATCCTAACAAAACTCTGAAACAAGAAGTGAGAAATTTATTGAAAGAGTATCGTGTGAGATAATGAAGGAGCCAGTTATTTTGAGGATGTTAAAAATGCTTCTTTGATGACTATCGATGATCGAGTTGTAAAATAATATTTATTGTACCTTAACAAAATTTTGAAATTAGAAGAGTAAAACAAAACGATGAAAACCTTTTTATATGATGCTTCTCTGATGGTTAATCTATTTTTGTTTATGTGCTGTTTGATGCTCAAGGATTACTCAGGCACTCTCAATCTTTTTGCTTGTAACGTGTTATTTTGGTGCTCACTATCCTATGTTTAAATGTAATGTTTTATCAGTGAGCAGTGATGAGGCTTCATGTATTCCATGTTATTATGGCTTTTTTTTTATTGTTTTGTTATTTACCTTCAATGGCTGATTACATCTGTTGCATGTATTTGTGGACTTCACTTTCTTTGAAGTTAGACTTGCTAGTCATAAACCTTTGTAAAGCAGACATGCTAGAGATTAGCAGCCACTTTACTGTCTGTGGCGCTGATAAAGTGTTAATCAATAGATAGTGGGCCGAAATTACCCCATTTCTGCTCATATTCATTGAGGTTTTATCATCGAGGCAATCGAAAAGTCTCATTATCAAGAAGAAAGGCTTCTGAAGGGCCGTTTTTCTGCATATTAAAATGTATATTCCTGGTTTTCCTCTTATTTCACAGGCTATTGCTAAGTGCTAACTTTAAAAAGAAACACTGTTAGAGAATATGTTTTCTAGATTACTTTTGAATGTTTATATCATTAGATATTAACAATAGGAGAAGGCGAAATTTGCTTCAGCTTTGGGTGCATCAATTTCCAATGACAGATGCCACTGCCTGTTGTTTTGCTTTCCTTAAAGATCAACCCATTGCTTTTATAATTGACATTGTTCTTTTGTTTTTTCTTCTCTCCTTTGGGTTGTTTTCAGTGTAATGCTCGGATTAAATCAATGACTCTTCCCTATATAAGAGTACATATTTATGAATTTCATTGTTTATTATCATTTTATTTTGTACGAGAATTTCAGAAAATATCATTCAACTCTTGTTTTCATTGATTAAAATTATAGTTGTTCCAACTGCTAATAAATATAGAAGAAAAAATCCTTTGGATATCGTTTTTCAAGGAGGTTGCAGATTTTTTTTTTCCTTTTCTTAGAAAAACAAATGCGTGGTAGAACTTTTACGGTGGAGCGAGAGAGATGGTTGTTTATCCTCCACAAAATGAGAGCGGCATTCTCCATTTTTATTGTATATTTAAACAAGCATCTTACTTTTTTAGCTTCAACCTTGTTTTAATATCAAAGCAAGTTATTGCTGAAGGCCACGGTGCATAGAAATCATTATCCTACCCTGTTGAAACCACGACTGGAACAGGAGTTTGCTGCACCAATCGTGGTTCTTGAGCAATTTATTTTAATAATAATATAAGTTCTTGTCACCCTTCATTTTTTTTATAAAAAAATTGTGAACTTTCTCTACGTTGACGAACAAATTATTTTAAACATTTTCGTGGGAGTTCTGGGCCTTGTTTATCTGAGGGAGGTTTACGCAATACCTGGTCGTGTAGAATTCATTTTTTTGAAGAAAAATTCCATCAAAGTTACTTCCTAATCAACCCTTTCCCTTTTGAATTCCTGTAAGTCCATTTCTATTCCTATGAATTCTTTATCTTCCCCCTCATTCTTTGGAGGTTCTTCAACTTTGCATGCAGGAAGAATTCATATATATATATATTTTTTGTTTTGACATTTTCACTATTATAAAAAGGTGGTGATATCTTAGCCATTGAACTTGGCACACACCAATTGCTTGTTGGCAACCGCCCTCTATTCATGGAGGGTGATGGCGTTTCAAGTCTGTGGAGCAATATGGGAAAGTTGCCCCTTTTCGTGTTTTTCAGAGATTCTAGGTATTCTTCATTTTCCAAGAAGTATTTTTTTGTTGTTGTAAATTTCTCCAAAGTTTAAAACAATGATCATGGTTGAAACTTTAAACCCGGCTTTCCATCTCAAACTCTCACCCGAAACCGACAAAGAAGAAACGCCATGACCATCTGCTCTTTGATCACTTTTGCAGGAATGTTCTGAAGAAGGATGAACTAGGCATGGAAATAGCAAACATCGGATTGCCTGCAACGCTTGCTTTGATGGCAGACCCTGTTGCTTCTCTAATAGACACGGCATTTATTGGCCGCATGGGTTTGTGCTCACTTTCTTCTGGCCTGATAGTGTGATATATTTACTATTATAATGTATATATGAGGCTTGAACACTTGACCATGTTCTAATATGTATCGGATATGGGTACAGAAAATTGTTTCTCTTTCTAACTATGCTACATATCCTAGTAAATGAAGTTGATTTTCTATGTTCTGAACATGAAGTAATACTTAATCAGTTATAAGATTTGGTTTCATTCTCTCTCTCTCTCTCTATATATATATATATCTTTTTGTATAGGTGCCTTGGAGTTGGCTTCTGTTGGAGTGTCGGTTGCAATTTTTAATCAAGTATCAAGGATTACCATGTTCCCACTAGTCAGTATCACCACTTCTTTTGTTGCTGAGGAAGAAGCTGCTAGTAAAACTAGTACCGACATAGAAGAAAACACCGGAAGTGATTATGATGCTGACCAGGAACTGGTGCCTCTAACTGGTATGCTTTCCACATTCTTTCTCCCTGCTTTTGTTGAAAGGCTAATCCGAGTTTCGATAAATTGCATTCTCAGACAAGGTTCACTTGGCGTCTTTGATTATATCTGTTACTTTTAGCATGTTTCGGCTTATCTATAATTTAAGCATTGAGAATATAAATATGTCATTTGCAGGCGGCAGTGACATGAAAATACCCAAACCTGAGGATAAAAGAAGGCATGTACCATCAGCAACTTCAGCTCTGATAGTTGGTTGCATGCTTGGAATAATTCAAACTTTGTTCCTCATTTTCACTGCTAAACCTCTCTTACTGTACATGGGCGTAAGACCTGTGAGTGTTCATTTTGTAGTTCCCTTATTGCAATTTTGTTAGCTTTCTACTTTTCTGTTAGCAGTAAGGATACTGCTTTTGCTTTTTCCAGGATTCTCCTATGGTCAAGATAGCAGCACAATACTTGATGCTACGATCACTCGGTGCTCCAGCTATTCTTCTCTCATTAGCTGCGCAAGGGGTTTTCCGGGGATTAAAGGACACTAAAACTCCCTTGTATGCTATCAGTAAGCCAGCTTTCCTTTTAATTAATAATCATGTTAATTTTGTTGGAAATCAGAAGCAGGGTGTGGAGGCTTATTCTGACAATCCCCTTGAAAGGAATTCACTGAAGGGGACTCTTAAAATTTGACAATGCCCTTTCCATATAATTCAATGGATATTTTGCACATTGCACATTGGATTTTTAGGATCTATTAGAGGCTTCCATTGCAAAACCAGTTTCGTATCCTACTTGTCATTTTGGATTCTCAATCATGTGTTACGAATGCGAAACATTATTATCAAATTGCAAGGGATCTCATTATTTATCAGAGTTTTTCAGTAAACTACCCCTCATAGTTGTTTGCAATTGCTAATGCAGTCATTGGAGACTCCGTAAACATTATTCTGGACCCTATACTTATATTCACACTTTGTCTGGGCGTCAATGGTGCCGCCATTGCTCATGTAGTTTCTCAGTAAGTTATTTTCATTTTGTTGGTTCATTGGCTGTATCATCTATCTGGTATTTTAATGCGTCTTCATCTGGTTAATCACTTAGTGCATCGTATTTGTAGGTATTTAATCTTTCTCATACTCGTTTGGAGATTAGTTGAAGATTTCGTTCTGTTGCCACCAAACTTTAAAGACCTACAATTCGGTCGATTTCTTAAAAGTGGTGAGTGCTTCGATTATGGTACTTAAAAATCTCCAAGAAGGATGTTTAATTGTTTTAAGTAAAACAAAATAAAATCGTTCAGTAGGGACTTTGTAATCCAGTTTTGTTCTCAACTTTCTTTCCAATTGATTTACCTCAATTGCTGTAGAAAGAAGATGATACAGAACATTTGCAGGACTCTGATATCTTTGACTGTCCCCACTTCAGGATTTCAGCTATTGGTTAAGGTGATATCTGCGACATCCTGTATGACTGTGGCGGCTTCATTAGCGGCTAGGCTGGGACCGAAACCAATGGCTGCATTTCAGGTTTGCTTCCAGATTTGGTTGGCAACCTCGTTGCTTGCTGATGGATTGGCTATTGCAGGACAAGTAAGATTTCATTTTAATTGAATGAACCACCATTACATTAAGTTTGCCCCATATTTTCGCGGCAAGTTTTTCTCTTAGAATTGGCTTTGTTCGGAACCAATCGAAAGCATAAGTGTCCTTGCTTTCCGTTCATCTCTTTTAGCAATAGAATCAAACTGCAATTACATTATTTTTCGAAAGAGTAAACTTCAACATATTTCTCACCTTATCCAGGCAATCCTTGCAAGTGCATTTGCAAAGAAGGAGTATGAGAAGACAGTTACTGTCGCTGCTAGGGTGCTGCAGGTACTAACTCTACATTAACATTACAACTTCACTTGTTTCACTTTGCTTCTTTGCTCTAAATTCTGCTTATGATTTCTATCTGCAGATTGGTGTTGTTTTGGGGCTTCTTTTATCTTTTATTCTAGTAGCTGTATCACAATTCGCTTCGACTTTGTTTACAAATGATTTCGATGTTTTGGAACTCATGAACATCAGCTTTCCAGTATAGTTCCCTTCCTTCATCAAAATCCTACAAATATTCATTTATTTCTTCAAATACTAACTTGTTCGGTCATCAACATTTTCTTGTTAATAGTTCGTTGCAGTAACTCAACCAATCAATGCTTTAGCCTTCGTTTTCGATGGAGTTAACTATGGAGCTTCGGATTTTGCATATTCAGCCTCCTCCATGGTTAGTTCAATTGCAACCCCACTTTGCTGAATAAATCTTCCTACCATACGAATCAAACATAATATCCAACGATGTTCAAAGCTTTTATAACTTTCTTCTGTCATTTTCCTAGATCGTGGTTGCAGTTATGAGCCTCTCTTGCTTGTTCGTACTTGCCTCCAGCCATGGCTATGTTGGCATCTGGATTGCTTTGACCATCTTTATGTGTTTGCGTGTGTTCGCCGGTCTTTTGAGGGTAGGAACCGGCATGGGCCCTTGGAGCTTTCTCCGCAGCTGATCGCTGGAAATGTATTACTTCACTCTCCTTTTTGACCTGCATCTGACTTGGGTGTAAGACCCCGATGGCTGGTGACAACTTGGGGTCTTGACGATCTTAAAACGGAGCCAGGTCGGATCTCAAAGTGGAAAAAGTTGCCTCATCACCCATTTTTTCATTCACAGAAAGGGGGCATAGAACTTGTTCGCCATTCGGCCTGTCTGTCTTTTGTTTAAACCATGGGATTTGATATCAGCCGGTGCTGATTTCAAATTGCCAATGGAATTCACATTCTTTTGTTTAGGAAAGACAACAGATTCTATCAATAAAAATATACCACTTTCTTTCACTTTGTGCCATACGTTTTTATTATATTTGCTTTACATATCTTTGTTGATTTACGATAATAATACATTATATATAATTAAGATAATAATACAGACTTCTCTCTTTATCCTCGCATCTCTTCTTCTTCTTCTTCTAGTTTTCCCTTATTAATTCGTTCCTTTTATTTATAAGATATATAATCATTTAAGTTACTCCATTACTTTTAAGTATAGCATACTTATTTTTATATTATAAAATTATTAAAATTAATTATAAATTAAACAAAAAAATAAAATTCTGATTGATTTGAATAATAGTGAGTTTTAAATTTCTAAATTATAAACCGTTCAAATATTACTATTCAAATTTATATTCGATTAATTGATTTTTTTCCTCAATCCTACCCACAGACGTAAAAGAAACACACAATAACAAATGCAGGCGAGACTCAGTATCCAAATCATTTTTATGTCAAGATATCAAATATTTGCCATCGTCTACAAACGTATCAAAATTCACTATTAGTGCATTTGTGCCAAATCTTATTTAGTGTAATACATCATGCTAATATCAATTACTTCATGTACATGTTTCATCCTATATATCCGATCAGCGATGGAAGTGAGATTTTATGTTAAGAGACGAATTTATAAAATTTTAAAGAACGAAAACAAATTATTAATAAAAAATACAAAAAAATATATATATCTAAAACATATAAAATTTGAAAGTTTCAAAGAGACAATCGCTCCGATCTCCGTCCCTAGTCCATTATTGTATGCGATAATTAAATCAAAAGACTTCATACTCAAAAGTATAGCAAGAATGCACATATCAAAGCATAGCTCATATCAAAATGAACATATACGGCATAAATTTCGGAAGCAGGAAAAACTTGCAAATGAGTAATTAATCACAAGGCATTAAAAAATTCTTAGGATATATAGTTTAAATAATTTATTTAAAAAATGTTTAAATAATTAAAAATGTGTCTAATCAATAATCGGATCAGATAAATGATAATGATAACATATGTGAATAGGTCTTATTAAATTCTATTAATTAATGAAAGTAAGCTTAAAAGATTATATTTATACCCCTAATGTTTAACTAATATAAATTTTGATTTCTTTACATTTCTCAATAAAATCAGACAAAAAAATCAATCCATGCCAATATTTCATTACATATTTAACGGATAAGTGATAAAAAATCAATCATAATATTAGTCTCAAAATTAAGAATTTAAATCTCATAAAAAATTTAAGAATTTAAAAAATTGACGAGGGACATGTGAATTGTTTTACTTTGTGTGAATATCTTCTCATTTTTTATCGTTAATCTCATTCGTTTATTTTTACTCATTTAATAGTCCTAAATCATTGTAAAATTAAAAAAATTTAAGCCATGTAATTAGATTATATCCCTTATAAATATAATATACCTTATATTTTAAATTATTATTTTTATCTAAAAATGACAACCGCTTTACTTTTATATCCAACTAGTATTTAACAATAACAATAATAATTTCTCAAGAAAAAAATAGTAATATAATAAATTTTCTTATTATAATTAGAACTTTAGGTTTATTATAAAAATTAGTATGTGAATTTAGCCATTTTTCTCACATTGATATTTGAACTCACTTTTTTTAAAATAATATATTTGTTGCACAAAATTTTAGTCGAGTCTTATGTTGCTTTCTATATGCACAGAATTTTACACATGAATTCATATGCAAAGATTTACTTTCAATTACAGATGCGCATATGAAAACTGCATATGAAGACTGTTCAACCATGTATTTATTTATACATGCATTGTGTAGATGCTCGATTTCGTCCGGGGACTGCATCGGAGGCTTCGTATCCAATACACAATACAAATTTGGACCAATGGAAGCCTAAATCAGCCCAAAAAGTAGTGTTAATTCCAGTCCAGTTCACGTAATCCTGCAAGACATGGACAGTTACAGGAAGATTTAAAAACAGAAAACGTGGATGCCATTTTGGAGGGAATTGATGAAAAACTGAAAGAGTTGGTTTTTTTATGGGAAATTAACTACTGGAAATTAAAGGGAACGGGGAGGAGGTTACATAACAAAGGGGGAAAAAGGGAATTAACCATCAGAAACGGGGCCAGAGGAAAAAGGAAAGAAAGAGAGACAACAAGGGGTAATCAGGGAATCAGAGAAAGAAAGAAGGAATTCCTTCTTCATATTACTACCGTTTTTGAGCCAAAAAAGGGGGACCAGTTTCAAAAGGCATTTGGTTATCATTTGGAAACATTTTTTTTTCGTTTTTTGGTTGTAAACGAAAGAGAAATTAAAAGAGAGAGGTCTTTCTCTAGATTTTTGAGAGAGAAGTGTAAACAAACAAAGGAGAAAAATCATCAACAACGAAAAGGGGGGGACAAATTCAAGTCAGTGAAATCAAAGGATCTTCTTTTCCCTTCATTTTTTTACACGCAGAACAACACAACAAATTCCTTTTTCATTTTCCTTTGTAACAGAGGAAAGGTAAGTGTTAAAACTCATTTTTGTATTTGAGGTGTTTTTCTATATCTATAAAAATCAATGGAAATTTCTTAAGAATATTCGATTTTGTTTTAGTCTATAGTGTATGGTGTTTGTGTGTGGGTATGTGAGTACTTTGAAATGGAAATATAAGGATAAAGGGAAGAGAGTAGTCTTACCTTAGGTGTATGGTGTCTTTGTTTATGTAATATTCTGCCTTTGGTTTCCATGGTCGGGCGTCGGAGAGGTAAATCTGATAAGTCGGTTGGGTGAAGACAGCGAGCTTCTAAGGTCCTCGTCGAGAGAGTGAGAAGATAAAAACGAGATTCTCGGTTCATATGGCTTAGCTTGGGTTTTCCTCTTTGTTGAATGGTTGTCGTCGAGTGGAGTGGCCACCAAGGTGGTGGTCGATACGACCGTTGTGAGGAGTAGATAGGAAAAGGTGGTCGTTGTTTCCAATATAGTTGGGGTAGCCAACCGTGTATGGTGATGTTTGGAGAGCAGCGCCGTGGGAGAAGAAAAGGGGAGAGTTGAAAGCCAAGAGAGAGCGGCAGGGAGTGATAAGTTAGCTTAGGTTATTTAGTTTTGGTTTTATGTTAAGATTTTAGGGTAAATTAGTGATTAGCCATTGCAGTCTAATAGTAAAATGTGTTTATCCTAATTTTACTGTTTTTCCAATTTTAATTTTAGTTATCGTTTTGTTAGGTTATTCACGTGTAGATCCCTTGTTTGTATGTATACTCATATTTAGGTCATTGGTTTGTTTTTGATTTGCAAGCTGAATATTACATTTATTTAAATTTAGTCATCTTTTAATACATACATATATATATTTTAATTTATAGTTTAGCATGTTATGATTTTATTTTTTTATTTTAGGTCACATGTATACATTATATGTTAATAGGCATAGTTTATAATTTGTAATTAAAATATACGTATATAATTTTTTGTATGTCACATTGTATGATATTTTTTAATTTTGTTTAATTAATTTTTGGCATGACATACTTTTTGAATAATTTGCATAATAGCCTCACGTGCATAACTCGACATAAATACATAATCGGACTAAGGGTAATACTCTTTTAATTTAAAATTGTCTTGAGTGGCTTGTCTTAACTGATTAGAGAGTCGTTTTGACTATTTTAAATTAAAAGTGTATCCCGATAGTGAAACCTAAAAAATCGATTATTCACCTAAACTTTGGGAATGGAAGAAAAAGAAATGTTCGTCTATTTAAATTTATCGAGAAAAGGTTGTTATAGCTTTTAAGATCTGGTCTCGATATTTGTAAATAATCGAACATTCTTTATCTTTCTAAAACGACTTGGTAATTTTAATTTAATTTATTTGGGTGCATTTGAATATTATAATGAAATTTTAATATTATATTATTTTGAGTTGAGTAGGAATTAATTTTTTCAAGTATTGATAAATTATTCTTTCTCGATATGAAATAATTTAATATTACTACATTTCATTGTAAAATTCACATTTTTTTGGGATCATAAATCAAATCAAGTTCGAATTTGTAAAGTTCATTGCAAAGACATTAATTAATCGACTAGGTACCGTTTTAGGGCGTTGTGGGGGTGCTAATCATTCCATACACGTAACCGACTCCTGAACTCGGATTTTGGTAACGCATACTTTAATTTGTTGTTTTAATTAAAATTAATTTTTATTTAAAATAACAAATATTTTTTGGGTGCCCAATCACACCCTAATCAAAGATTGGTGGCGACTCTTTGAACCATATTTTTTCGATCGTAAAGGAAATCCAAAATTTTTTCGAAACGAAAGGTTTTTAAATTGCATTTGTTTTTAAATTAAAAATCAATTGAAAAAGATAATTAAAAAATTAATGTGGTTTTCAAAATCTCACATTTTCACTTTTAAGGAAAAATCGTTTTGACACATTGCATTTTATCTTTATTTAAAAAAATTTAACTGTCGAAGGTCTTCTACAGAAGCTGCTCTCAACCTGGCGTTGGGGGCAACCTACTACATGACCTCCCCCTTACCCCATAACATATGAGAATATGATTTTGTTGTTGTATTTGTTGCCTGAACAACTCAACAGTCAATTAGGTGGTTGATGTTCATTAACTAATTAAAAGGACGATTTTATTAAGTGTCATGTGTTATACTTTAATTAATTGTTGAAATATCATATCAACCCTGTATATTAATTTAATTTTATTTTCAATTTTAAGTATAGATTTCAAATTTATTTTCAAGCTTGGGTGCTAATTCGAGATAAAAAAAATTAAAGATCAATTTCAAAAAAAAAATGCTGAGTTTATCTACCAATTTATAT